TCTCTGCGTTTACGGAATCGATTTTCCAAAACACGATTAATTATACTCGGAAAACATAAATAAGTACATAATTAAAACGTAAAACCACTAGAACCTATTATAATTTAGATTATAGACTGTAGGTATTAAATATATTTATGTTGAACTATATTTATAACGTAAAATTAATACAAGTTTTTAAACGATTGATATGTTTATACTTGGTAAATTTAAATTTTTTGTAATAGAAATTTGACAAGAATGATTAAAATTTTAACAAAATTTACTTATCGTACTAATGAATATATAAATTATATAGACATATTTATATTTAAAGAAGTTTTGATTATTACTTATTGATATATTAAAATTTATACTTCACTGTTTGTAGAGAAAATTCTAGTACAGTAAGTTCAACAATATTTAACTCTAAGGTCTCATTACTGTTTTTTATATTTTTATATTGTATGCATATAAAATACACACCATATTATATTTTTAATAGTGATAAGACCATAATATTTAGATTTTCCAAATGTTAAAATTTTTATGGGTTACCTGATTGTATATTTTATTAAATTCGTAGTACATTTCACTTGCAATCATTTTAAACACTAAATTCTTTATAATTTAACGTTAGTAGAGTTTACATTTTTTAACAATTAAATTGATTGAAAAATGTATAAGGAGAAAAAAATTATGAGATCATAAGTTTTGTATACAATAAATATTTTAATGTTATCAGCAAATCAATGATTAAAGACTGTAATATACCCAGATGTATGTAACTATTATATACAGAAGTAATTTTATGGTAAATTTTATTTGGTCGCACACAGCTAATTTATTTTTTGGTGAATCAAATGAGATTTTACTTTTAAATTTTAATATTATACTTAACATCTTTGGCTCATCACAATATTCGTAATGTATGTTAAATTTTGATGCCTCTCGAAAACTTCCAGAATTTTTAACGTGATCCTCCAAAAATAAAAATTACAGTTTAAACAATAAATATTAATTTTCAAAGTGGATTATTGTCACCTTTTTGATTAAACACGATGTGAATATTGTAGTAAAAAAAATAAAGTACGCGAAAACTACCGAAAAGGAACAAATACAATGTACATGTACCTACTACTATTTAAGCAATTAAATATTCAAAATTATATAGTTATACAGTAAAAACAACTTATCAAGTCTAACAATAGATTTTTCATACCTGCAACCCGATATAATGGAATTGTATGTATAATATAATATAATTGTGTATATAATATGTTTACATGTTCATACATATTGACATATGACAACCATAGCATGATATGTGGAATTGTATTTATTTTTACATCATATTTCATTTCAACTAAGTGATACAATATAATTTATAATAGTAAACAAACTATTGTTTGTATATTATACAAAATATAGATACCTTTTTCTTTCTTTTTTTTTTTTTTTTTTAATTACCTACCAAAATATTTTCTAACGATACAAAACCATTCAAGTGTCTTTTTTTTTTTTTTTTTTTTTTTTTTTTTTTTTTTTTTAATATTCAATTTATTATTGGTTTCCATTTCATATACATAAACCTATTGTAGAAAAAATTATAATATATTAAATTATAGTAAGTATACAATTTCCCTTTTAAAACCTCACTTTAATTGAAAGTTCTATATTTAATTGAAAATAAATATACCTTAAGGCCTTTTAAAGAGTTCTGTTTACTTAGGAATAAATCGTATTAAAGTGGAAAATTATACGTTGTCATTAATATATATAACGGATGGGATACATTTATAATATCGGAAAAACAATACATTTATTCTATAGAAAGTAATAAGAATCTGTTTAACTACCTCCCATTTATGTTAATCACAGCATCGCGAATTTTATAGGTGCACTAACTCATATCTCCTCCAAGTCATACAAAATCATAAGAAAATATGTTTTTGACGTTTCATATATTTTATCGAAAACGTGATAATATTGCAATAAAAGTTGTGTATACAGTGGGTATATTTTAATTATGTTTGTCTATTTTTATAATAAATATTGTAATATCATACAACATTATAGCATAATATGCATTACGAACGACTCAGGTCTATTGTAAAGCTGCGCCGCTCATCGAAAATTGCGAGAAAAAAAATGTAAATAAAGAACGTCGGATGGATCGCCATAATAATTGAAGCTGGACGAGAGAGGGATGAAAATGGAGAAAAAGTAGAAAGTAACGCGATAACAATAGATGCGCTCGCGCCTCGGGCCCGCTATATTATATTATTCGTATTCGTATTACTGTTATTATTATTATTATTATTATTATTATTTACGTAATACTCTGCCGGGTGTGCGACCTCTAGGCGAATGATCGCGTCGCCCGCGAGGCCGCCGTCATCGCCGCCCGGTCCGCGCTCGCGTACAATAAATTATTCACTGGTCTCGCGAGCACGATTAAACTTGCACAGACGATAATAATAATTACAATGGTTGCGTCCTCGTTGTCGGGCACTGCCGTGTTTGCGTTTTCCGCATGCACATACAACATGATAATATTATATTATGGTGTATTATATAGTACGATTGAATCGAACCCGACGAATATAATGTACAAATATTTAGGTACACGCTAGAGCCACACCCCCACTCGCTATAACCCCTTTCCTCTGTGAGCCGCCGACGATTTTGTCATTAATTATTACTAGGTAGTCCTTCTGTGACTCGGCACGTATTGTCTCCCGCGTCATAATATGTTCACTCGTGCCGCATACATGTCTATTATATATATATATATATATTATATACATATGTATATATAAAATAGTAACATATGATGTGTAGGCCGGGCTATCGTGAAAATGAAACAATATAAAATATCTACCCTGCACCCTTAATTCACACACACACACTTACGTTTATAATGACGACCGCTCGGGGTATAGTCGATATAGATGATATTGATGTTGATATTGTTGATAATAATATTATAACGGTTAAGGTAGGTTGGTAGGTAGGCACTACAACAAGTTCACGTGCATAGAAACTCTTTGCTGTAATTGGTAAGCTATCCGTGCTTTTGATTTACCACTGTGATTTTTCATGCATACAATATTGCCACACAATAATTCACGTTGTCTTGTTGTTGGATCTAGAGCGAATCTCATAGCGGAAAACGTTAACAACGTTTGATAACCAGGGAATCTTATCTGATCGTTCGTTTACTAAACGTTAACTAAATGGCGCTACTTAACGTCATTGTAAATATTGCAAACGCTAGGAAATGGCGTTTGGTCTGTTTAGTTCCAATAATCAAAACCGTAGTTATTTAGACGATAATAAAGTCATTATAAATTGCGATAATGATTATTGGCTGATACCGAATTGGTTCCCGAGCTCCAACTCCATGTGCCGAATTGGTTCCCATTAGAAAAAGGTATTTTATTAAGTTTAACCGAATTGGTTCCCATTTAATTACGCACATTTTCCTTCTCAATTTTACAGGCTTAGGACTGTTAACTAAAAAATAGGCTTGATTAAAAAATGTGTGTTTTAAAAAAAATGATGTAACATATACAATTTTAAATTGTTGATTTGGAATCAACTATAGTCATCACTTATAGGTGTAGGTACAAAATATTAAAATAAAAATAAATAATAGTAATTATAATAAAAGTAATTTTATAATATATTAAGTCATACGTATTTAAATAAATGGATTTTGTATGTATCTTTGCCCTTAGTTTTTAGTGTATAAGTATAAAAATGACACTTAAAATTTGGCCCGCGAATTTTTTTTGAAAAAATATTTACTAACTGCTATAGACTATAGAGTGTAGCCGTGTAGGTACACTCTATAGTATATACTATATAGGTATATTTATATTTTATACTATCTAATTTATATTTTGTACCAATTATTAAAAATTAAAAATTACCTGTACACAAACGGGAACCAATTCGGTTACTCCCTGATGACCACAATTTTAAATCGAAGTTACTATAATAATTTACTACGGTTTAGCTTGTCGGGCGCCAACAAATTTCAATTATACAATCGTTGTTGACAACCAGTTGACATTTTTGTCATGCTATAAACTTATAACGTTTTCCACTAGCAAATTCCCTCCTATTTCAACGATTTCGTGTCTCATGTATAAAAATATATGTAAACGGAATGATATCGGTATCATCGGGTATATAAAGTTTAGACTTATTTAATTCCGAACCTTAGCGTTCAACATTCGCGTACACTATATAGATTACATTTACAACCAATTTTTCACATAAAATTGGAATTCCTACATACCCATCGAACGCCATTGTGTATACTTGCCAGGATACGATGAACTGGGTGCAGATGGGTCAGACGTACAGCGCCTTTTAGCATAAAAAAAAAAAACAGGACGATACCACGATATTCTGATGCGCGCGCAGTAGGTACTGTTTACGCAAAGTGGTATTTTACAGTGAACGGTGGCGGAAGAAAAGTGAAATCGTTTTCGCTATAAATAAAACCCACGGTAATCCGATTTGGGTTATACGGGCAAAACAGCATAATAATATAGTATTCCCCGGCCGGGACCGTTTTCGATTCGCTTTAAAAGCGACGTTTAAAAACGGCTCGCCAAATGTCAACCGTTGACCTTAGCCAAACGCCACCGTTGCGCTCCCTCTGGGATCGTCTTTTAATTATACAACACGTCAGTCTCGGGTTTCCTTTACACTCCAATCGCCACCCGAGGGTTGCCGTTTTCATTTAAATAATAATATGCGCACGGCCCGTCACAGCTACATAATAGTCCGGATGGTCGTGTTGTATACATAAACTGTATTTTGTATGTGTATATAAGAAATAGTATATCTTATTATTACGTGTGTGTGTGTGTGTGTACATATAAAAAACAACGGTTTATTTTATTTATTATTATTATTATATTATCATTATGATATATTATAATATTATGTACTATGTAGAATAAAAAGGGGGAAGGAAATTAAACATACGTTTTAACAATCACTCAAGTTTAACAAATAGACATCGAAATGTTTACATAAACAATAGAATATATAATATATATGTAATAATATAATATTATAATGTGCCGATTAAAAGATTAATAATATTATTACACTACAATCTACAGCGTATCATCGGCCACCCAAACGGCAAAGTTGAATTACGAAGTTTACGTAATATGTGTAATATAAAACAGATATTGTTATCTTAATAATGTATGAGTATGAAAATACCTATTCAGCAGAGTTCCAGAAATTTTGACAAAACAGTAATGGTAAAGTGCATCGCAACTTATTACGTATTATATATTTATGGAAGGTGAAGTATAAACGATATGCAAACAAGAAATAAATTTATTACACTATGTATTATAATATTATAGACTCTACCGGTACCTCTACGACGAAAAACATATACATCAACGTATTCGCGCGTCCAAGAAGAGACAAGTGTTTTTCTAATGTGCAAACAACATACGTATTCGTATTAACTTTCGTTAGAAAATAAACCATAACACATATTATAATATATATTTATATACGTATGTGTAAATTAATAGTAAACGCAGGCCAAAAAATATTCTACGTCAACGAAGTCCATCTCCATATAACCGATATAAGTACCGTCAATCTCATCTTTTATACGGTAAGCGAAATTTAAGGTGGCGAGTGCTGTATCCCCGATTTTACCGAAGAATAACAGTTAACGAAGTTTTTTTGAAAATCAAACGTAAGTTTGGGCGGCGATACGAAATTTGTGGTTAAAAACAATAGCAGGTCTTACTACTGTGAAATTCGCTCATTTGCGTAAACTTAGACTTGCAAATCATTCGACGCCACTGGATGATAACTGAACCGGTCGATTATAATTTGTATCGCAAAAATAGCGCACATATCGCATAATAATAAGTAATAACACACTGAAACTATAAACAATAATCATAAAAAAAAAAGTAGCCGTTTGCGGGTCCTACGTGTTCCTTTCGTCGGGGCACGTTTCGATGTCAATTTCGTCGTCGTCGTCGTCGTCGTCGTCGTCAACGTCGTCAACGTCATCCGTCGCCGTCCGCGCAACACCGCCGCCGCCACCGCCGCCGTCGGCCTCGTCGTCGTCGCCGTCGTCTTCTTCGCCGTCGGCCGACTTGGCCGCGGCGGCGGCGGCGGCGGCGGGCGGCAGCAGCGGCCGGTGACCGGATAGACGGGCCGAAAAGCGGAAGAATAATCGGCCGCGACTGCGTTTCCGGTGACTGGGGCGTGTGATGATGCGGGTGGCTCGGTTGGGCAGCCACAGGCAGGGCCGCCGCCCGCCGAATACGCGGCCGCGGCGGCCGCGCCACGGCGAGCGGTTGGCCCGCTGTTCCATGTCGGCCATGGCCTGGTGCCGGCAATGGACGGCACCTGCACCAGCGAACCGTGGCCGATTTCTTTGCTGCAGTTCCGACGACCGGTGTGGTGGTGGTGGTGGTGGTGCTGCCTGCTGGTGGTGGTGCAGGTGGCCCGCCGACTGGAGCATGGGCTGCGGCGCATTTGCACGATCACGGCGGCGGCGGACGAAACGGACGGCGGCGGCAGCGGCGGCGATGACGAAGCCGATGACTGTTGTCGCGAGTGCGACGGCGGCGGCGGCGGCTGGAGCAGCGGCTGCTGCTGGTGCTGTTGCTGGAGCAGCGACGGCGGCGACGGCCTGGACACGGCCCGTTTGCGCGTGCCGCCGTTGAACATGGCCTTGACGTCCTCCCACGCGTGCACCACGTGGTCGGGCGGGTCGTCGCTGAGCTTCATGTGCCGGCGCCACGAGTTGAAGTTGGCCGCGTCCGGTTGCACGTACCGGGCCCCGGCGCCGGTGCGGTGCGAGTGGAATATGAACTTGTTGGGCGAGAAGAACAGTCCGCACACGGCGCACCGGATGCACTTGGCCCGGGACGAATTGTACCGGGACGGCAGGAACGATCCGCGGCAGCCCCAAGCGCACTCGTGGTGCACCGCGAACGCGAAATCGTCGGGCAGCCGGGGCGGCGTGTTGTCGCCCAGGAACGAGTTGCACAGCCGCTCCGCCTCCCGCCTGGTGATCATGCCGCACCGGCGCGAGGACACCGGCATGGCGCCGGCCCGGCGGAGCATCTCCAGCTGCACCGGGGTGCACTGCACGCACGTGATGCCCAGCGCCACCCGACGGTTGTGGATTTCGTTGTAGCTGAACCGGTGCAGCAGCGTGTTGCTGATCTGGGCCAGGCACAGCCGCTCTTGGTTGTCCATCTGCAGCGAGACGATCGGCACCCCGTACAGGATCACCGTGCCCACCTGGTTGGACAAACAAAACAGAACCTGCTCAGGTGCTTTGCTTGCATTCGAGCCGCGCCGGCGGCGGCACCGTATACGTATTACTTGCCGCCGAGTCACGCGCAGTCGCGCGTTCGGGCCATTGCGCGCCGTACCCACATGCATTGGTTTCATACCCACCGAATATAATAACTATTCGATTAGACTATACGTATTAAATTGTATATGTAAGTACGTTAAAACGTATCGAGCTCGATATCTCGCGTAATACGTTTCGACCGACCCACTTGTGTATAGTATTAGTTATTCGAGTTAATTGAGTTATCATTAAATATATTATACAGTATTTATTTTTTATAAATCCCGACGCGTTAGATATTTGTTGATTCCGAAATGTTACGAAATCCAATTTTTCTTTCGGCTCGACTTTGCGATATACGCGTATACCCTCCGAAATTTGGTCAGAATAATAACTATTACTGTGTAAGGCAAAACATAAATTAAATTATTTGTTTATTTCGAGTTGATCGGTTGTAATTCGTTTGATACCTGTCAGCGGGGGCGACGTCTTTGCAAATTTAATTTCTTCGATTCGGTGCGCCTTTTAAGTGTTTAAAGCAAACAAATAAAAATAACGTTTTATTATTATTTTATTTTTTTTTTTTTTAAGGCTAAACCTATTGTCATTTACTCGCATCGTAAACTTGTAAGGCTCCCGACCGGAACGACAATTCCCCTATTAAAAGGTCGCCACGCTCCCTCCGACTATTTATCCACGCCACTTGATAACTTCTAAATAAATATAATACAATAACCCTAAAGAAATTATTTGCCTTCTTGTTCTATACAACTTAGGCACTAGAATTATCTGATAAATCCACTTCATAACGTGAGTACAGTGTACAATTAATGTTTTATTATTGTTAACTATAAAATCCATTTAATATTTTTATTTAACTTTATCTCGGGTATTGATTTGATTATAATTATTAATCGAATCTTACATAAACAATGAACAATAAGACATCTGAAACGCATATATTTTATAACAAAATTCAAGATTCAGCTCAATTGAACATTTAAACAACAATCGAACGAAACAAAAACGTGTAAACGTGAGATTTTTAAAATTTCTGAACTTACTTTGTTCGGTTTAGAATTATTGATCACCGGATTGAGCGCTCTTGGTGATTCGGTCTGTTTATCATCCCTGTGATGACTGATCAACTGGAACCTCTGATCCATTTTCGCTAACGTCATTTTTCTGCACAAACAATCACGAAATAAATGAAATAAATAAATTATGATTATTGTTATTTATGACTTTAAATTGTATCTGATTAAAAAAAAAAAAAGCTAGACAGCTTTTACGGTGTTCATATTTATGTTATCATATTTCAGTTTTATTGATCGCACCACACAAGAGAAATTTTAAACATGTATAATTATTGCTCTTTCGTAAAAAAAATGTAATTTAAAATTCACCACTGGTATAAATGTTTGAGAAAAACTCACGTATTCAGATGCTCAAATGTTTCCTGCAGTGCGTGCATATAATATTATAACTATTATTATATAGCTATATTAATTTAACTTAGGCAATAGTTTCTATTCATTTTCAGACCCATAAAACAGGAAAAAGTACGATAAAAGATAAATCAAACAACGGAGAGTCCTGCAGTAACCCGTATGTAAGAACACGGAGACGAATTCCGTCGTGTTTCGTCCTTACAATGGAGATTAGGGACTAAAATTGAATGTAGTACGACACACTTTGTATGAAATATAAATTTTGAAATATATCATGGCTTAACTGCTTTTGACAGTTTTTATCCTTTATTTTATTCTTGATTGATTTATATTATATATTGTTACATTTTGACATATTTTGTAAAAATATTTATTTTACAAATAAAATATGTTACGAGTAAAAGACAAAATTCAAAATCGGGCAAATGCAAATCATCCACGATACTTGAGCAAAATGTCATATTTCAGTTTTTGCCCTGATAAATTTCAGTTGTGACCAATCATATTCCGAAAAAAACATAGTAGCTTTTATCGTAAGATTTTATTATGATTATTAATAATTGTACGACGTGCATTGAACGTAGTAGTCAATTTATTATTTTTTATAATATTTAATCTACTTAGTACTTTTTTTATTATAGTTATACAGAACGGGGGTCGTCATAATTCATAACTACACACTGCTTACTTTTATTCATCAATTCCGCATAGTTTTCCCAAAATCAAACCGTTTAATATCGCATACACTAATATTTATCAATAACATAACGCACACATATCTAAAATTGTTTAGAAACGCATATCAATTAATTATATTTAATCTAAATCATAAAATCGTAAGCAATGAAATTAATTTAATTAAGTATTTGAAAACACTAGAATTTAAACTAATTCGAATTTAAGAATTATCTACTATATACATACTTTATTTTATCTCATTATATTATATTCAATTATTTATAATTAATACTAAAATAATAAGATATTATTTAATGAATTATTTTTATAAAGATTTGATTAATAAAAATTAATAACAAATTTTTAATTTTTAATTGTCAATCAAATATGTGCGATTTTGAATTATCATCCTTCCAAATTTACCGTTTTAACTTTTAACAATAGAAAAAATGTGTACAATATTAAACGGCCAAAAATATAAAATTGTAAATAGTAAATAGGTAAGTATGACCAGTTTATTCAGAGGTGTTACCAATGAATAGTTTTCTCAAACATGTTCTTTATGTATTTCAAAAATTTCAAAAAAATTTCTTATGTACTTCATTAAATATAGATTAATTGGCATTTTTCCTTGGTATTTCTTAGGCTTGCCCGTAACATACGTACTAACTGTTAACTATATGTATACACAATTTAATATGGTACTATATATTTTTCATATAGAATAACTTTAACTAATTCATATTAATGTGTATAGCTTAAATACATTTTGGGGATGTGGGTGGCAAAGCCCTCTATGGTAATGCAAAGCTCAATATAAATTGTGTAGTGCGAAAATATATATAATTTAGTCCAGCGTTGAGTTCATACATAGCAGCAGGTAGGCATAGTGCATCCATTCCCCAGACACGGTGCACATCCACACGACGCCGTCTAAATCGAACTCTTTCGGCGCTAGTGAACGGGACGCTGACGACTATATTATGTACAGCGAGCGTGTTGAGTACTCGAAATCATTAGTGCGTGGAAAACCGAAAAGGCGAAATTAATTAAACGAGAGCCGATTTGCTGTTCACCGAGAGTGAGAACGGGAGCGGAAAAGGAAGAGGAGCGCAACAAGGAGAACTGCACCGGGTTTTGACGACTGCTATTCAACAGCGGCGGGTGTAGTATTGTTTGGAGTGGGTGTCAAGGGGAAACTGTTTCAATTCATATATATGTGTGTGTGTGTGTGTGTGTGTGTGTGTGTGTGTGTGTGTGTGTGTGTGTGAGTGTGTGTGTGTGTGTGTGTGTGTGTGTGTGTGTGTGTGTGTGTGTGTGTGTGTGTATGTATGCGACCAGGTTGCGGAGGGTTAATCTTACTCCAGTGGGGGTGTACCCGCGTAATCCGTCGATAATTACTCGTTACATTTCTGCGAAAGAGAAAAACGTTTTTCCGCGTCCAGAGTGCTACGGGTCCTCGCGCGCACATATATATATATAAATAACAGCGCCAACCGGCTGTGGCATGAAGGGGTGAGTATTAAGCTTTTATTTAAGTATAATGTAACGTATATATAAACAGCGGTGTTAGCAGCGCGGTGAGTTCATTCTAATTAAAATTAACAAAAAACCTGTACAAATGTACCTATTGCAGTTTATTTTATCATAATATACAAAAGCAAAAAATACGGGGTAATTCCATTTGAACTCAGCGTAAATCGGTCGATTTTTCTATAAATATTTAAATAATATTTAAAAAAAAAAACTTTTTTTTTTCAATGTAGAACAGTTTACGTGAATTTAAAATATCATGTCCTGACTGATGCAATTTTTATTGCATCAGCATTATTTATTTATTTGATGCGCTATTAGTACTTTTTTTTTTTACATATTTATTTTTATTTGTACAATCTGTATAAAGTATTTACAATAAGCACAATAGATGGATGATGTTATAATAGGTCATGGTTGGCTTGGGAGAAGAAGCTATTCAGTAATAGTACTTCATGGCGTGGGTGGTGATTTGTATTTATTTATTTAAATACAAAATAGTTTGGTTCGCACCACGTTGCATTTTGAAGTTGAGTAAGTTAAGATTATGCAAAATGTTTTAGCTTTGATGAATCAGAAATTGTCATATCCTGAAGTTTATACCAGCTAGTATATACTCGGACTTTAACCGTAACACACGTATATACTTATTATCATATAAGTATATTCTCCGTAAACCTAGAATATTTTTATATATAATATGGAGTAGTACATTAGTATATCGTACTTCAGTACTTGAGTTATGTCGATTTCACTTCAAATGGCACGATTATTCAATAATACTGTTTATCTAACAAGTTTAACGATCTTATAGGTTTTTAAATTTACTTCTTTTAAAACGAATTTGTTGGCAAGATATATAGTGTACCTAATATAATCTATATAATATATCTGATATGTCAAAAAACAATAACTAACTTGCATTAAAAAAAACTCACCCTATTCATACTTATTTTAATGTTTATAAATATCATGTACGTTTATTCATTTTTTTCTCGGTATATACACTGTAACGTCTTAAATTATTTAAACTTGTATTGTTTATATGTATACATGTATATTATATACACTATACAGTTGTACATAAGTATACATAATACGTGTCCTCGTCGTTGTCAACATAGTAATTTCAATGCATTTTTAAACATTAGTCATGATTATTATTACTATTCCACCTCGGTCACGGGGCGGTGTCTTTAACTGTGTATAAGAATAATAACGTTAAGCTCCTCTTCACGACCCCTAACCGCTCACTGCTCCTGCAGTACCTACACACAAATATTGTATAATGTATAATATAGTAAAGAAATGTTAATTTCCGTCTTTTTCTCTCACTCTCTTAAGCTCTCTTCGCAAGTTGGTTTTTTAATAAAATGTTATTATTTTCTATACCTACCTATGTAAATATATAATAAATCATGTATACCTATATTGTTGGATAAAATTGTAAATATTATAACTTTTCTACGAAACGAGTAAACAACAAATCAATTACGATATTTACGATATTTAAATAAATATAACATAAACATGACATTATTTATTATGCATATTGAGTGTTTAATAATAAATTGTATTTTTTTCTTTATTTACGAGTATAAATATTTTTAGTTTAACGGATTTAAAAAATATTGTAAAACATTACAACGAGTAAGTAAAGTGCAATATAATATCTTTATGAAAATTAAAGTAAAATAAAAAACAAAAGACAATAAAATAAAATATTCAAAAAATAATTAATTTAAAATTCGTATTTTTTTTTTTTTTATAACTAGTATTCGTATGTGGCTGTATCTCTAGTAAAAGTGATGAAATGATAAGCACCAAAACTAATCCAAAATATATACATAAGTGCCGCAAAAAAGGATATAAATAAATTAACTTCTGCTAATGGCACCCCTGACTTTTTTTAAAAAAAGAAAAGAGTTATAGTGAAAATTTATTCTTTTATATGATTATCAACAAACTACATATAATTAAAAAATAACATAAACACCCAATTTTTATTCTGAATTCCTCAATTACATTATTTAAAAAATCAGTGTCTAATATACATCTCCTGAAAAATATTCTTGCAAAAAAAAATAAATATATCATGTAATTTGCTCCATTTTAGGTAGTAGAAATATGTATTTTAATTTCCACCAAAATTCAAATCGATTAGTATTTTGATAATATATACACGTTTCGGTAGTGTAGATTAAAGATATTGAGATCTATTCGAACTGAAAAACTAATTAAACAGAATATTCCATTTTAGATTTTGAGCTATTATTCACTAACATATACATCACTTAGGCAATAACAATCAGTAGCATAATTAGGAATTGATTCTGGGGTGGCATATAAGTTTATATACTATATAATGTTATAGTGGGAGCTATATGCTCCTCACGTCCCCCTTTATTCATTGAGTTTTATAGATCTCAATATTATATTTATTTATTATTATAAATTAAGGTACATGTATGGTGACATGGTGTAGTACTATAGTGTACAAAATTAAAACAAATTTATTAAATC